TCTGAGTACACCTGAGTATACCAAAGGTACAAATAAGAAGGGGCATGACCCAACAGTCATATGCGCCTACCTTATTCACGCCCAACAAGAGTCTGTTAAGCACTTTTGTCAAGCGTACAAAAACAGATCGCAAACCGATTGCCTCGGAAAGGGTCCTTATGTTGTGTATATTATGTCCTTATAATGTCCTTATGGGCATAATAAGTCTATGGCCTCAGAATTAGCAACCCTATCCTTTTCGACATGGAGAACCGCACATTTATCCGTCCCCAGCTCCATTGTTTGTAATTCATGTTTATAAATTTCATAAGATGGGAGAGACTGGAGGCGAATAATTGATAGAATCAGGCGTTACTTTGCGGAAATCCATTTTTTTTTATAGGATAGGGTGACAAACGAGCACATAGTCCACCTGATGGTAAGTGGTTACTGTGACCCATAGACATTTACATCTATCCTCAGTAAAGACTCAAGATGCAGATGCGTTGTCACCCGTGAGGACTAAGATGGAATGCCTCTTTGCCAGTAAAAAGGGTCTCCAGTTCTCTACACTCACCATACGAAACACAGCAGCATTAAGCTGCTATTTTACGCTGGTTTTCTGTGAGAGCGTGGTCCTTCCCCGGTCGAGCCGACCCATTCGTGCTACAACCATAATATAGCTGCAGCATGGCTCTACCACGTATAAAAGTTTAGCCCAGTTTTAAGGGGCAGGACACATCATTTTCTTTCTTTACGCGGAATTCAGCTAATTAGTTTATATCAACCCCATGGAGGCGAATAACTTGAGATTATCCATATAGAAAAGGTTGTTCATTTTAGTCCCTTCTTTCCTAAGCTGAAATGCCTTCCTGGAGCTTTCCAGTAAGATACTGAGAAGGTTCAGAGAGAGGCAGAACCAGATTTGACTCAAACAATCGCCCTGGAAGATCGCCTTCTAATCATTATGCGGTCCTCTGCAACTGTTATATAGTCGCCTACATGAGAAAGCCTCCACTGCCCCATACACTGCCGAGGAAGTCTCTAACTGAACAGTCAACCTTGTACAGCTCGAGGATCCTCTTCAGCCATGCACAGAGTCGAATGCCTTTCTGTAGTCTATCCAGGCGGAGGAGAAGTTCCGTCGTTCGCTTTTAACCACCTTACCAATGACCGCGTCAATGAGGAGTGGTTCCTTGGTTTCACAATTCCACAATCACCGCCCCGACATCCATTTTGAGTGCGCGACATCAATTGATTGGAGTCCAGGTGACGTGTGATTTTCGCACTCAAAATGAATTTTAAGTGTCTTGTATACGGTTGGTAGACCGTTATGGAGCGGTATTTGCTCGGTTCACCGTGTAGTGGCGGTTAAGAATATCCACTACCCCATATCTTCCCGTGGGTGTCGTAAAAGGCGACAAAGGGAAACAGGCAGGAGATGGGCAGCAGCATCTTCCTGGTAACGACAAAATACAATAAAAAACTGCGGTTGCCAACCCGCTCGCCAAGCGTGGCAACTATGGAAATATACCCCCCATAATGAAAGTTACGAAGAGACGGCCCCCAGTCCCCGGCGGCCCCGCTATTCCTGGCTACGGTGGCGACCATGGTAACGGCGGGGCAGGGGGTGCTAAGAATCTCCGGTGGAGGTTCGGTTGCCACCTACAACGACTCGACCTGGCAACATACAACGCACGCACCCTGAGGACTGACGAGAAGATTGTGGAGCTGGAAGAAGAGATAGACAAGTTACGCTGGCATATTATAGGATTATCCGAAGTCCGAAGAGAGGGGGAGGACACGGTAATCCTCGAATCCGGCAACTTGCTCTATCACCGGGAGGGCGACCATCTGTCCCAAGGAGGTGTCGGATTTATCGTCCACAAGTCTCTCGTTAACAACGTTGTAAAGATTGAGAGTGTGTCGACGAGGGTTGCGTACCTTATACTCAGAATCACCAAACGGTATTCGCTGAAGGTCATACAGGTTTACGCACCAACCTCGGCACACCCCGATCAGGAGGTGGAGGAAATGTATGAGGATATCTCTAGAGCCATGCATTCCTCCAAAACCCAATATACGGTGTTAATGGGAGACTTCAATGCAAAACTAGGCACAAGAGAGAACGGTGAGCTGAAAGTGGGGAAATTTGGAATAGGGCAACGGAACCCAAGGGGCCAGCAGTTGGCCGACTTCATGGAGAAAGAGGGACTCTTTATGATGAACTCTTTCTTCCAGAAGCGGCCCCACAGGAAGTGGACCTGGTCGAGCCCCGACGGTTCGACAAAAAATGAGATTGACTTCATTATGACGACCAGACGACAACTGTTCAGTGATGTCTCAGTGATCGCGATGGTGAAAACCGGCAGCGATCACCGAATGGTTAGAGGCACACTGAACCTAAACGTTAAGTTGGAGAGGTCTCGTCTAATGAAGTCAACGCTCCGTCCCTCTCGTGCTCTAATCCAAAGTCCCGAAACCTTTCAGCTCGAGTTGCAAAACCGTTTTCAGTGCCTAGAAGACTGCAATGAAGTGGACGATTTGAATGACAAGCTCGTGGAAACTGTCCATGCGGTCGGAGCTAAGTTCTGCAAGACCCGCCGCAGAAGAACACAAAAACTCTCCGATCACACTCTTAATCTCATGGCTGTTAGACGGGAGATGAAGCTACATTCTTCAACAGATTTGACAGCATACAGGCAACTGAACAGACAGATCTCCAAATGCATGCGGCGGGACTTACGCAACTTCAATACAGCTCGTATTGAAGAAGCGATCGAGCGGAACCAAGGCTCCAAAGTCTTTGCCAGAGATCTGTCTGCCAGAAAGAGCCAACTGTCAAAGCTGAAGACCGAATGTGGCAGCATCGTTTCCGGGGCACCTGAGATTTTGAGTGAGATTGAGAGGTTCTATGGGCAGCTGTACACGTCATCGTTGGAGCCACACGCAAGTGTGAGTAACGATCCAAGAGCGAGTCTTATCCGACATTATTCCGATGATATCCCGGACGTCAGTCTGAGCGAGATTAGAATGGCTCTCCAGCACCTTAAAAACGGCAAGGCCCCAGGCCAGGATGGAATTACAGCGGAGCTTCTGAAAGCGGGTGGAAAACCGGTACTTGAAGTCCTTCAGAAGCTCTTTAATTCCGTCCTCCATGGTGGCATTACACCGGAGGCGTGGAGCAGAAGTGCGGTGGTCTTGTTCTTCAAGAAAGGCGACAACGCTCTCTTGAAGAACTACAGACCGATTTCCCTTCTGAGCCGCGTCTACGTGCTGTTTTCGAGAGTCATTACGAATCGTCTCGCGCGCAGACTTGACGACTTCCAGCCTCCCGAACAAGCCGGTTTCCGAAAAGGCTTTAGCACCATAGACCACATACATACCCTTCGGCAAATTGTACAGAAGTCCGAGGAGTACAATTTGCCACTATGTCTGGCGTATGTGGACTATGAGAAAGCCTTTGATTCCGTCGAAATTTGGGCGGTGCTGCAGTCCCTTCAGCGATGCCAAGTTGACTGTCGGTATATCGAAGTGTTGAAGTGCTTGTACAGTAGGGCTACGATGGCTATCCGAGTACAGAACCAGAGTACGAAACCTATCCAATTGCAGAGAGGTGTAAGACAGGGTGACGTCATATCCCCGAAACTCTTCACCGCTGCATTGGAAGATGTTTTCAAGCTTCTGGATTGGAAAGGATACGGTATCAACATCAATGGCGAGTACATCACTCACCTTCGATTTGCCGACGATATAGTCCTTATGGCAGAATCGCTGGAGGACCTAAGCACTATGCTCAATGACCTCAATAGTGTTTCCCAACGGATAGGTCTTAAGATGAACATGGACAAAACAAAGATCATGTTTAATGTCCATGTCACACCTATGCCGGTAGTTGTTGGGAACACTAAGCTCGAAGTTGTTGACGAATATGTTTACCTGGGACAAATAGTCCGACTAGGTAAGTCCAACTTCGACCGAGAGGTCAATCGACGGATTCAACTCGGTTGGGCAGCGTTCGGGAAATTACAGCACATCTTCTCGTCAGGTATACCTCAAAACTTGAAAACGAGACTGTACACCCAGTGCGTGTTGCCAGTGATGACATACGGAACTGAGACGTGGTCCTTCACTGCTGGCCGGATGAGGAAGCTCAAGGTCGCTCAGCGAGCTATGGAGAGGGCTATGCTCGGAGTTTCTCTGCGTGATAAACTCAGAAATGAGGATATCCGCAGTAGAACCAGAGTGACCGACATAGCCCAACGGATTAGTAAACTGAAGTGGCAATGGGCCGGCCATATAGCTCGAAGAACCGACAACCGATGGGGAAGAAAGGTTCTCGAGTGGCAGCCTCGTACCGGCAGGCGAAGTATAGGGCGTCCCCCCACTAGATGGAGTGACGACCTGGTAAGATTTGCAGGAAGTCGATGGATGCAGGTGGCTCGGGACCGTGCTTTGTGGCATTCTTTGGGGGAGGCCTATGTTCAGCAGTGGACTTGTGAAGGGCTGTAATGATGATGATGATGATGATGATTTGCTCGGGTCTGTGGTATCCTGGTCCTTAGGGACCAAATGAGTGATCCCAGTAGTGGACAGGCTCGGGAGCGATTTCTGGTCGAGAGCCTCTTGAAACTGTCGAGCGGGCACAATGTGACACAACACGAACCCCTTCAGCCAGTAGATGCAGCCCGTCGAGTCCCGAATGTTTCCAGTTCCTGGCCCTACGGACCACCTCAGCTACGTCATCCGACGTTTCACATTGACTACGACTTCCGACGTTTTAGAGAACCGGAGACCCTCACCATACGAAACACAACAGCATTGAGCTGCTACTTTACGCTGGTATTCTGTGAGTGTGGTCCTTCCCCGGTCAAGGTCCCATTCGTGCTACAACCATAATATCTGCTGCAGCGTGGTTCTAACACTTAGAATATACTATTACTACCATATATTTACTATATTACGTGCAATAGCTATTTACCTGAATAATTAGTAAATAAAAATTACTCACTATGCAATCCTCAGGCTAGCGACCGAGGAATGAACACGTGCACAAGCGAATCCCACCCGCAGTCGGCAATCTGATGTGGCCTCAACGCGTTCCAGTCCAGCCCGTACGTAAACTCGGAATGATGCCGAATCGTCTCCAATGGTTCACAGCCGCGCTTTAAGTCCCAAATTCTGTAGAAATTTAATTACATTGATGATAGGACTTCTTGATTGATTCTATTGCAAAAGCGGACCTTTTTTTAAATACTCTCAATGTTATTAACATTACTAATATTCCCTTTAATCCAAATCTTAGTAATTAAGCTTAAAGTTCTTGTGTGTTCACGACAGCAGTCGAATGTCTTGGAACCGAAGACCTTTTGAGTTCACGGTTAGGTCACTTTTCTTCTAGTATGATAGAGTGTAGATGATATAGCTGAAAAGACAATAGCCTAATGGATAAGGGAACTGAAAGTAAAACTAAAGTCACGGGTTCGAATCCGCCATTCGACTACAGTAGTTCCCTTTTCTTAGGAAAGTCTTTTCTAATACCCAGGCATTTTAACTTTTTACGACCAGTCGCTGCTGGGACAACAGACATTATGCCCGACTGTCATAGACTTAAACTCTACGGTTGATCGCCATCAGCGCAGATGGTGAATGCCGTGTCTGCGCTCGAAACGCATCTGGAAGCCTCTATTGCTCCGCACATTTAGCACGTCTCGAAGGAGCACTTACTATTATTATTCACAGCATCCTTGCAGTGCTATTGTCATGATTCGAGACCACTTTCGATTGGGTTACTGAACAGAAACGAGTCCATGACGCTCCTGTACGGACTGGTGGACAATTTGTCTACGAAATAATACTTCCCATAAACTAATATTGTTCTTAGGTATGCAATTATTTTTCCACTATTTACATTTAGTACCTAATCTCAAACGAACAAAGATAGAGGGAACACAACTTATATTTCAAGTGACGCCAAAATCAAGCCGAAACCACGTTCCACTGATTGTAAGAACACGCACTCACACACACATATGAATCTAAGATTATTTGTAACCGGCAACACTATTTTAGATGCATATGTGTGTGTCCAGAAGCGGACCTACCACGGTCTATTAAAAAAATTAGGTGAAATATGAGTGCGTGAGTGTATGTCAAGAAGTTGAGCCTGGTTTCGGCATCACTTGAAGTGTACGAAGCGCTCCGTCTATCTTTCTTTGTTCGTGTGAGTTGTTTATCCGGTATGAAGGCCGAAAGCAGTCTCAACTTATATAGTAAAAACATGCGCTCACGCACACATATACATCTAAAATCATTTGCAACCAACTGCATGGTTTCAGGTGCATTTGTTTATCCAGCAGTCGACTATTACAGAATGATTAAGGAAACAAAGAGGAGTTAAAGAATTACGTCCTATATGCCTTTTGCATACATGCACTATAAATAAATAAAATAAAATATTCAGAAAGATGTGAATAATTTTTTTTTTTATATAGGATAAGGGTGACAAACGAGCACACAGTCCACCTGCTGGTAAGTGGTTGCTGTGGCCCATAGACATCTACATCTATCCTTTATTACAAATCAAAATGCAGATGCGTTGTCACCCGTGAGGACTAATATGGAATGCGTCATTTCCAGCAAAAAGGGTCTCCGGTTCTCTACACTCACCATACGAAACACAGCAGTGTTATGCTGCTATTTTACGCTGGTATTCTGTGGGAGCGTGGTCCTTCCCCGGTCGAGCCGACCCATTCGTGCTACAACTATACTATTAATATAGCTGCAGCATGGCTTTATTTAAATAATTTTAAAATTAATAATATAAAAATTGAGAAAAAGAGAAAAGAAATCTGCACATGAGAAGTCGAACCCACGACCATCGAATTTTTAATCAGAACTCTTATTTATACGGTGCGAAACATTTTTATTTTCTATACGCGTTTTCATGTGGAGTTTCCACTTCGGGTACTTTCATTTCTAGCCAAGCCCTGCATATCCTATAAATTCTATACACTTGGCCATCTGGAGTTTCACTTCGGGTACTTTCACTTCTAGCGAAGCCCTGCATATCCTATAAATTCTATACGCTTGGCCACCTGGAGTTTCCACTTCGGGTACTTTCATTTCTAGCCAAGCCCTGCGTATCCTATAAATTATATACGCTTGGCCACCTGGAGTTTCCACTTCGGGTACTTTCACTTCTAGCGAAGCCCTGCATATCCTATAAATTCTATACGCTTGGCCATTTGGAGTTTCCACTTCGGGTACATTCATTTCTAGCCAGGGCATGGCATATCCTATAAATTTGAGCGAAATCGGTGATGACGAGTAGGGAATGCCCCCTTGTTAGTAAATTATATTCACACATTAAATTTAAAAAACTACGAAAACTTTAAAAACACGCATTGATCATGAACTCTGATGGTTCTAGAGAGAATTATCCCGGTGATCCTGATCAGGATACTAGACTAAAGTTCTTAAATTATTGTCAGCAAATTTTCAAGTCAATCGGCCGTCTACAAGTTGGTGAAAATTACTTTAAAAGTTTCCGTTACATATATAAATACGCGCGAAGCTAATAAAGGCGTGTTAAAAAAGTAGAGTTTTAGGTTCATTATGTTCATTTTTGTTTCAATGATAGGAATTCTGCTAAGCTGAATGTATTCGCGGTTAGTTTTCACAATTAACTCCTATGTAAGCAATCACATTATAGTATAAGGGTGATAAACGAGCACACAGTCCACCTAATTGTAAGTAGTTGCTGTGGCCCATAGATATCTACATCCATCCTCAACTACGAATCAAAACGCAGATGCGTTATTAAATCTGAGGACTGAGATGGAATGTCTCGTTTCCAGTAAAAAGATTATCCGGTTCTCTACACTCACCATAAGAAACACAGCAGTATTGAGCTGCTATTTTACGATGGTATTCTGTGAGAGCGTGGTCTTTCCCCGGTCGAGCCGACCCATTCGTGCTATTACCATAATATAGCTTCAGCGTGGCTCTAACACATAAAAAATCCTCTATTTTACACCCTTAGGGGTGTAATTATTCCTTCATATTTATTTAGTGAAAAAAGAATATTAAAAGTCGGGTTACAATTGGCAAGGATACCGTGTAACATACATACATAAAAATATAAAGTCGAATTGAGAACTTACTCCTTTCGGAGGAGGCTAATAATCATAAATAAATTGAGCTGCTGAGTGTATGTGTAGGTTAGGAATAAGATAACTAGTTTAAATAAATTATCAGACGTAAATCAATTTTGGCATGTTAGTAAAAAAATATCTAATAATTTTACATTTTTGTATTATATTCAGCTAACAGAAATAAAGATATTTTATCCAATTGGATTAAGAGGTGTTGGAAAAAGATGGCAACAAATATTTTTTATTGGTCGATAATAGTAATAATAAAATACAGCGTTTAGTTAGACCTACTGCAAAATTGCACACATTAAAAATTTACATTAGTAAGTTTGATTCAATAATTTGTTCTGAATTTCATTGCTACAACATTGTTTTCATTTTCAACATCCCCAACACAATGGTTCAAAACTATGACTTAATGTACACTCATCGCTAAACAACACAGGTGACAAATTCTTTATAAAAAAAAAGGTAAAAATAAAAATATTACCTCGTAGTAAAATCATATGATACGCCTGCTATAACTGAAGGCGCGTGAGGAGAGAATTGAACCCTTCTTACTGCACACTCGCAACCTGCAATGGAAAACCGTAACATTAATTTATATATTAAATTTATTTTAGGCATATTGATAAGAAATAGATGTCTTTCGAGTTTTTTTTTCTAAATAAACATAAGACACAATTATTTTGTTATCAAAATTAGATTTTTTTATTCATTACCTATTAAAGCATTAAACATTAATTCAAAAAATATGTAGGATTATGTGCCTCACATACTACAACTTCGACGAACGTTCCGCAAGTTACTGACGACTTATAGTAATTCTATGACGTCAATACTAGCATATTATGCATACATTATCAAAGTAATTCAATCAGCTTTATCTGTTCTCACTGTGTAGTGTCGGTGTAAGAATATCCACAACTCCATATCGTCCCGTGTGTGTCGTAAAAGTCGACAAATGGAAATTAAAACGGGAGATGGGCAGTGGTTTCTTTCTGATGACAAATCAAAATAAAAAAAACTGCAGTTATCAACCGGGCAGCGTGACATCTCCGGCATTATAACACATTTTCCCACGATTCGGCAAGGAATTATGTCTTTTTGCTTGCCACCATAGTGCAATTATGGTGGCAAGCAAAAAGACATAATTCTTAACTTCATTATCGGCAAATGGTAGCAAAGCCATTTTGCTATTTGTGTTGCCAGTCAGCGCCAATATCGCCAAACTTAGCAAGCAGAAACCTAAGGCCTTGGATATTGCGATCGTTTTTTTTTATATAGGATAGGGTGACAAACGAGCACACAGTCCACCTGATGATAAGTGGTAGCTGTGGCCCATAGACATCTACATCTATCCTCGTTTGCGAATCAAAATTCAGATGCGTTGTCACCCCTGAGGACTAAGGTGGAATGCCTTATTTCCAGTAAAAAGGGCCTCCGGCCACCTGCACTCACCGAGCGAAACACAGAGGTAAACTTCTACTTCACGCTGGTATTCCGTGAGGTCGTGGTACCACCCCGGTTTAAGCCGGCCCATCCGTACGACAGCAAAAGCTGCCGCGTGGCTCTACCACTGTCAAAGCATAGGTCAAAGTGAGTCGTGAATAGGTAGATCCAAGGCTTATAAATTATAAAAAATGTTGACGTTTGACAGACGAAATTTTAATTTCTTATGTCAAAACTTAAGTTTTTATTTCACTTCACTTGCACCGTAGATGTTCGTGTGATCGGTCTGGCTATTTAAGTCTTTCGACAATTTATTTATAGAATAAGGGTGACAAACGAACACACAGTCCACCTTTGGCCTATAGAAATCTACATCTATCCTCGATTACGAATTAAAATGCAGTGCGTTGTCACCCCTGAGGACTAAGATGGAATGCCTTGTTTCCAGTAAAAGGGGTCTCAGGTTCTCTACACTCACCGTACGAAACACTGCAAACATAAAGGGAACCGACTCATTCGAGCTACACCCATAATTTTTTTAATATAGCTACAGCATGGCTCTACAATGTATTTTTTTTTTATAAATGTAATGATGAAATACATATTACTACCTTTTAGTGTAAACATCGGCGTGGTCAGTCTTCTAAGGTCCCAGCCTCTTATCAAGCCGTCAGATCCCGCCGTGGCCAAGGCATGACTCTCCGTTCTACCCCAATCACAAGACAACACCTGCGAAATGAATGATGTAACACAGCTTACAACTCAGCTGTGCTTGACAGTGTACTACGAAATATTTCGGACCCGAAGATCGTTCCGAAGTCACTAACAGGATAAACTTGATCGAAACTAGAAGGCATAATATGATTAATACCTTAAAATAAACAAGTCAATATATGACTTGTTTTTATTTTTTAACTTTTTTATTCATCTTTCTGGGGGCACGGCAGAGCCCCCGCCAAGTCGAGCAAAAAAGCGGCACGGCCGTACCAATATTTTCTCAAAGCAGTTCAGGCCATTTTCGAAACCCTGTAACTTCGTTGTGGATAAATCTAGATGCCTGAATTTGCAGTGAATGAATCAGTGTACCTATATATGTATAATATAATGGAATAATAGGTAATAGATAAAGTACAGATAGGTACCTAGATATAACTATGTACAAAAAGAAATGAGATGCCATCAAAAACATAACTTGTAAAAAAACCAAGTCTCGCAACTCAGTTCTACCGTAAAAAGTTGTGAGATCCATGTATTACCAAGTCGATTAATTTATTCAGTCCCCACTTAAGGGTCCTTCTGTCTTAAGTTATTACGTAATTAGCTAACCTAACAACATCTTATAGTGACCACATCAATACTAAAAATCTTTTATATTTTAAATAAATTGGAAAACACAATGTATCTCTCAAGTAATACATATTATATTAAATGAGATTGTTTATTGCGATTGCCAAGTCAATTTACCAATATTGTTCAGATATGTCGCCTTCACATATTCATTCATCAATTTTAGATTTTCCTTGATTTAGTCAGTTCACACTTTTTCTCATTCATTTTGTATTTCTCAGTATAAAACTCCATTACCAATCCAAGATACTCAACACGTTAACTAGTCTGATATTTTTGTCATCGTACGTAAGACGAAATTCGACCGTAATTTATTAAATTTTTAAGTTTGTTTAAAGTAAAGAAGCTGTATTTCATTTTCAACGGCACATTATAAAAATTGAAATTCTCAATTCGACTGTATTTTTTCTAGGAAAACCGATTTTGATGATATTTTTATTTGAAAGCTGGTGCTTCTCATGTGGTCCCACATTTTGATCAATATCTAACCAATAGTTTTGAGTTATCCTTAATAATGCGTATTTAATTGGCTTCGACTACACTGATTGACTACATTGTTCTCATTTTATTTATATTGAAGTAGGTTGTACAAAATTGTTATTTTACCACTTGTTTGTCTTGATATACACTCTGACGGTGCGTACGTATTATATAACATTGTTATATAACATGTCTCGGTAATGTGGAAGCTAAATGTTATAAGACGTGTTATATAACGTGAAACGAATGTTATATAACTCGAACGGCGAAACGACAAACGACAATATCATACCGCAATGTCATATAACATTGTTATATTGCATTGTTATTCTAATGTGTATAGTATTGTTGTATATTGCAATGTTGAAAAACAATGTTACATAAATTGGACGTGTTATAAAACAAAAGTTACACAACATGTTACTTAATCTGTACGCACCCTAAAACGTAGTGATCATATATGTACTCTTTGATACATTCCACAGACTATTGAGAAAGGAACTTTAAAAAACACACAAAATTCACGGCTCAATCGGACAATCTGTTAGTAATTATTTTGTTTTAAAATTCTTTGGTGACAACCTGTTTTTTATAGAATAAGGATGACAAACAAGCACACAGTCCAACTGATGATAAGTAGATGCTGAGGCCCAAAGACATCTACATCAATCATTGATTAAGAATAAAAATGCAGGTACGTTGTCACCCCTGAGAGCTAAGCTGGAATGTCTTGTTACTATTAAAAAGGGTTTCCGGTTCCCTACACTCTTCATAAGAAGCACAGTTGCGTTAAGCTGCTATTTTACGCTGATATTTTGTGAGTGTGATCCTCCCCTGTCGACCGACCCATTCGTACTACAGCCTGCAGCGTTTCTGCGTCTCTACTCTGTTATTTTTTTATAACTGGCTTCACGTCTTTAGGTTCTAGCGCTTCTGAGCCTGAAGCTACAATGTATAGTTATCCTTCATAGTACTCTGCTTCACAATATGTTGAAGCCCTTGGGAGATTTTGACGGCAATTGATTGGGACGTAGAATACCTCAGTCCCCCGTGACCATGGGTTGCAGTAAGTGCTTAAAACGTCGGGAATAAAAAATAAGTTAAAGTACGCGATAGCATCGTAATAAACTGGTTTTATTTAAATGTGTAGTTACAACTGGTTTATATATTATATACCTGGTTATACTTACCCAGACGGACTACTAAACCGAAAAGCAGTCCTACAAATCCTCACAACGGGTTAGGCACATACCCAGCGGTAGACATCTGTAGGCTGATGGAAGAAGAAGAAATTTGAGTCACAATTACCTCAGCATCATGCGCTTTTACGGCGGCGGCCGGTCTCGCCGGCTCCGTACACGTCCAGAGTTTGAGATGTCCATCTCCCGACACCGAGGCGAATGTGGCCGGCGAGTGTGGAGAGAAAGCCGCTGTGTATACAAGCTGCGAGTGACCCGAGAACGTGCTGAGACACGCCTCCGATTCAGGGTCCCACTGGATTGAAGACAAATTGTTATAAACCAATTAATGTAGTATGACTGAGAAAATCATTAAAAACAAGAAACAACAAAACATTTATTTTATCAATTTTTAAAAAAGTTTTCGAATTTGTTTAGCTTAAATATAGACTAGATCTGTCTCTTTGTGTTCATTTAGTTTCATCGCAATAAGTCGAGTCACTCCGAAGATTAGCCCGGACAGACAGACAGACAGATAGAAGGACGAAAAAACTAAAAATGGTTCATCATAATCATGGAAATGATTCAAGTTTTAATGGCATGGAAATAACCCTGCCTTGAGCTCAATAAAAGACACATGTTTCTAGAATACAGACAGACACCTCAATTTTTAACAAAGAACCAAGGTAAACAATTTAAATATAGCTCAAAAAAACCGATAATCGATTGGGAAGAAACGATATCGTTTCTGTGCTCACCAATCTGCCTGCCCAGTCTGGTGAGCATGCGTAAAATCTTCAAAGATCATTTGACGCAAAGGCCTAAATCCAGAAATGAATTCAAAGAGTTGATAAAGAACTGACATCAACAAAAAATGATAAACAAAGCGCTGCGTATATTTCCAGAGACTCGGAAACCTTCTTCAACTTCTTGATATGGCCCGTATCAGCCCGTAAAAGTTCACTGCTGGACGCACACATATACACCTAAAACCATGTTTTTGTTTGCAAATGATATTAAATGCACATATGTGCGTGAGTTCATACAATAAGCTGAGCAAGGTTTTAGCTTGATTTCGGCGTCACTTGACGCATACGCAGTGATCTGTCTTTTTTTTATATAGGGTGACAAACAAGCACATACAGTCCACCTGATGGTAAGTGCTTGCTGTGAGCCATAGACATCTACATCTATCCCCAATAAAGAATCAAAATACAGATGCGTTGTTACCCGTGAGGACTAAGATGGAATGCCTCTTTTCCAGTAAAATGGGTCTCCGGTTCTCTACACTCACCCTACGAAACACAGCAGTGTCAAACTTCTAGTATTCTATGAGAGCGTGGTCTTATCCCGGTCGAGTCGACCCATTCGTGCTACAACTATACTACTAATATAGCTGCAACATGGCTCTACCACGTATAAATTCGTCCGTCTATCTTCTTTATTGGTCTAAAATAAAAAAGACGACATTGCTCACCAATTTAACAGTGGTATCCCAGCTAGCACTCAGCAGATGCGCACGAGGCCAATCAACTGAACAAACTTCACTGCGATGCGCGCGTAAAACGCGCAAAGGCGCCGCGCAGCCGCCGCGCCATACCACCACAGCGCCGTCGCCGGCGCCGCACGCTGCCACTCCGTCACCAGTGCCCGACCACGTCTGCCACGAAAGAACAGTCAAATTCACTCTATTGATAGTTTAAACTGATAATTCTAATACCAACTGTTGTCGGCTGAAAATAATCCATCACACTATTTATTATTTCGTCACGTAAATGTCGTAAGAAGCGACTATGGGAAGACAATGCAAAATGCTATAATAATCTTATGGATTCTCATAGACTGTGGTATTATAACCATTCCAATTACTCCAGAGGTATGAACAAATAATACCAACACCGGCTACGAGCTGCAGCGTCAAAGATGCAAGAACTCTTGTGCTGCGATCGTCAAATCATCTGCCAAGCTTGCTTTTGAATTTGTCTGCCTTTATTAAATAATATCAAAGTGACAAATGAAGTCACACTCCACTCGATGGTAAGTGGCCACTGTTGTCCCTGGACACCTGAAACGAACTTCAAACAAAGAAAGCTACACAGGCGTTGTTACTACTTGGAACTAAGATGGAATGACTCGCGGCCTATTTTACTCTAGAAAGTACTGCATCCATGCAGCACTGCACCAACTGCTGTGTCGCAGTTTGAAGCAACAAGCTACAAAACAATTCATCTTAGCTCTTACTTGTTACATTTGTGCCTTTCCTTGTTTGAAGGCGGTTCTTCACGTTGGTCAACATAGTGGCGAATACGTTGGCAAAGATATTAGCCAAGAGTTTGTGATGGCATCCACATGTTGGAAGGTCGTTCAGTTTGCTTCGGTTTAGGCCAATGTCCGGACGAATTTAATAAAATGGATATTGAGGCGCTAACGGCTAGTGTGTATAAGAAAAGGGTGATCAAAAAGAAATGGAAAAAAAGAAATTTTATTTCTTCTGTTCCACAAACAATTTCCGACTTGGTAGAGCTCTATAAAGCGAAAAATTTCTTCATTGGTCATTGTTACTGCTTTTTTAAAGACACTAGTTACGATGCGTGAATATAAAATTTAAATCAGGTGTGTGCAATCAAAAAAAAACTAAACGTGCGCCCAACGTGTGGACGAGGCGGCCAATAACTCTGCCACAACCCTTTGATCTTTTGTAAAAAACCGACACCACACGGTTCTCGCGCCAACTTGCCATCATTCCTATACATACCAACGTAAGCACAAACACCCGCTCTACACGATGGCCATTGGTATTGGCCAACACATTCGCTACTATGTTGGCCAACGTGAAGAGCCGCAGGCAGCAGTAGCCACTTATTATCAGATGAACTATATCTCGAATATTATTAGATAAAAAACATATTATCTTTTTTTACGCGTGTATACCATTCTCCAAATATAAGATTTATATTCACCAATGTAACTGTGAGTACTACAGCCTTTCAGGGGTCTTTAATACCACTTTAAATGAATATTCTATAATACTATAAAGTCCTTTAGTTCGAACAAGACGGTAAAAATTCCATTTGATGAATTCGAAATTTTTCTCATTTCCACTATTACTTGCATCTTACTTGATATGTTTATAATTAAATTAGGGAATCTACATTTGATCCAAAGGCCAAAAAGACCAATAGTATACAATCCCGTATACACCAGATGTAAAATATCCAGAACGGAAACAAGTTGCAGCGTCAAGTGTGGGAATTATAGCGAACGCTAAACCGCCAGTCAATCATTCGATTATATGGTCAATTCTAAAATATGCATCATCAAAGTCTACTTAAGATTATTAACGTTAAACGCCATGCCTAAAACAAAATATATGGTTTACTCACTTAGCTGGACTTACGACCTTTAACAAATATTTTTTTTTAAAGTCCCACTGGAGTTTCTTGCTGGTTCTTCCCAGGACAGAGGACTTTTTTCGAACCAGTGGTAAAGTAAAAAAATTGGTTTCAATAAGAATTACTTGTAATCAATATTGAATAAAAAATTATTCTATTCTATTTTATTCTAACAAGTTAGTCGGACGTACGATATTAGACGATCTTGACTTTTAGGAGCTGGCTAGAGGCTGCCAAAGGTTGCCGAAAAGTGAACTGCGTGATCATTAGCTACTTTACATACATACATATAATCACGCCTCTTTCCCGTAGGGGTAGGCAGAGACCACTTCTTTCCACTTGCTACGATCCTTACATACTTGTTTTGCTTCGTCCACTTTCATTATTCCCTTCATACATGCTCTACGGTTTAGGGTACTCTTGACCTGGCCTTTTTTCAAGACGTCCCTGAATTGGTCTAGAAATGTCCGCCTAGGTCTACCCCTTCCAACACTTTCATTCACACTCGCCTTATACACTTTTTTCGTCAATCGTTCTTCATTCATTCTCTCGACATGGCCAAACCATCTCAGCATACCTTTCTCAATTTTTGTCACTACATCTTCTTTCAGATTTTTTCATTAGCTACTTTAAAGGTCATAAAAACAATAAACCTTCGTAATAACTTAACTATTTTTAAAAATAAAAGAATTTATAAAGGCAGTCATCAAAGGCGCTTGTTTACAATCAGTTAATCTAATATATTCCACGAATGTAACAGTTTTTCTTGGCAACTCAAGTCAATATAATATATACATGTAAAGAAACGAATAAGCCTCTTAAATGCTGATGTAAAATATGCACACGTAACTCGACAGATAAGGCTTCATGTGGATGTTCTTCTCCTTCGCATATTCCATTACAAAACACTTTAGCCTAGTGTTCGCAAATTAAAAAAAATCATTAGCTATTTACAAATCGTGTGGCTAGTGTCACAATACGGGTCCTGAGTTTATCTCATCGGACATCGCTTATGGACTAGGTGGCGTGCAGCATGTACGTGCAAATATCTTCATGAATTCCTGGCTAGGGAGTCAGCCGGCTTATGACAATCGCTTACTGACCACAACCCAGCTGTGGTTGTCCCCCAGTGAGATCCGTTTGAACCGAAACCGCGGCCCCTCGCTAGGATCTTAATTATTTTCTTATTATCTCACAGGACTTATAACAAATGTCAGTACACTACTGAGATCAATCTAACGACACTCCATATAAGTAAAAATCCATCAAGACATTGAGGCTTAGAAGCGAGTCAAATAAATAGACATATTATATTGATTGTATTGACTAGGGCACTTAAAAATCTTTATAAAAAAAATACAGTAAATACTGTTGCAAGCAAACAATTTTTGCTTTGCATAAAAACTGATTAAAACTCAAGATTTATCACATAAATTTTAAAATAGATCTGTTATTATTACAGAAGTAAAGCAACTATAAAAAAATTCTTTAATTTTTTGTTTCTTTTCTTTACACTAAAATTTGGAGTAAATATATTTTTTTATATATTAAGTATATTGCTCTACATCTTGTTGTATATAGATTAATATTATGTATATAGGTACTATTGATAATATAAAAATAAATATGAAGTGTAGTGTCATGTAGAAAGAATGAACGAGAAAAGAGTGACAAAGCAAATTTACGTTGCAGAAGTGAACGGCAGGGTCGGGAAGGGACGCCCTAGATGAAGGTTTATCGACCAAATCGGCGATACATTGAATAAATGGGCCAGATTAGGAGTACCCTTAACCGACGAGCGTGTATGCGTAGATATATGGATGTAGAGGAGGCGAGAGAGGTGTGTCAGGATCACGCCAAATGGAAATCCGTAGTCTCTGCCTACCCCTCTGGGTGACAGGCGTGAGTGTTTATGTATGTAAATTTGAGATGTATCCATCTATCCATTACAATGTATAAAAGTCTACTGCAGAACATAGGCCTCCCCTATAGATTGCCGCCAAAGGGAGGATTTTGTTATAGTTGCCACGCCTGGCAGGCGGGTTGGCAACGGCGGTTTTTTTTATTATTTTGAGTTGTTATCAGGGAAGATGCTGCTGCCCATCTCCTGTTTCAATTTCCATCTGTCGCCTCTTACGACACCCACGGATGACATTGAAATGTATGTACGGACTCAATTTCTTCATGTATTGAATCAGAATAATAGAAACAAAGAAAACACGTTCAAATATCATAAAATGAGCCATTAAAATACATGACTGTTTACAAAACTAAAATAGATACAAAAGCAGTCAATGAAACATATAATTGTATATTGCATTGGTGCTGAAACAAAACCACTAGTATCATGTGTGTAAGACATTAAACTAATGAAGATGATTATTAACAAATAATGAATTTTTTTTCTACATGGTATAGCCATGCTGCAGCTATATTATGGTTGTAGCACAAATGGGTGGGCTGGACCGGGGAAGGACCACGCTCTCACAGAAAACCAGCGTAAAATAGCAGCTTAAAGCTGCTGTGTTTCGTATGGTGAGTGTAGAGAACCGGAGACCCTTTTTACTGGCAAAGAGGCATTCCATCTTAGTCCTCACGGGTGACAACGCATCTGCATCTTGAGTCTTTATTGAGGATAGATGTAGATGTCTATGGGTCACAGTAACCACTTACCATCAGGTGGACTGTGTGCTCGTTTGTCACCCGATCCTATAAAAAAAAATTAACAGTGCTTTACCAAGACATGAAATTCTGTTTAAGTTAAATGATAGTGTAAATTGATAAATGTTAAAAGAAAGCTTCAATGAATTGGTAAGATATTTTTGGAAATGTTGTCATTCAAAATCTACAGCATTTCCATTAAAAAATCAACTTTAATATTTTAGAGTAACATTACTAACACGGCGGTGAATGCAAGGAGGTCTCCTTGAGTGGCTTTATGGAAACTCATTTAAGTCAAGGACACCCTTAGCAATTGTAAAAAATTTTAATCAAATATTGGTTTTAGGCCATCTTCCACAATGTCAAACAAATTAAGAATTGGTATGCAATAAGTATAGCTTAGCAGAACACTAATACTAAGAACAAAGATCAATACTAATCAAACAACAATTAATGTGAAAGGAATAAAATTGAGATCTCTTCCTGAGCTGTTTCCGATCAAGGCTACAACTTCCAGATAATCGAAACCTTGTACAGGCGACATTGTAGTACCACAAATTCACACTCAAACACAGGGGAACTCATTTGTTATCTTCATACAAACAATGGACATGGATAGGTTGGACAAGTAAACTATGCTTATGCAATTAAATATGACGAAACACAACCAGGTCAAAACGCCATTAGTTTAGTATACATATAAATGTTGATTCAGGCTGGCGTTCCAATTTATTACCTTTATTTTACAGCAGTCTATCAAAAGTCCACAGCCTAACATAGGCCTACCCATAGATTGCCTCATAGCAGGGATATTTCTCATATATGTCACACATTGTTCATTTCATTTGTTCATTTTTTGTTCATTTTTTTTCCTCCACACTAGGATTTTCTCCTGTATCGTAGAGGCAGTTTACAAATACAAATTGCACAAGGACAAACAGCCACTAAGCCACTGCGTCACGGAGCCGTCAAACAACTGCAGTTTTTTTTTTTTAGTTGTAATTAGGAAAACGCTTCTGCCTGTATATTTGTTTGTTTCCCTCTATTGTCTCTTATGACACCCATGGGACAATATGGGGTAGTGAATATTCTTACACCACCACTACTTGGGCACATAAATGTCCACATGTAATTGCCAAATATTCTAACCTGTGAGCAATGTTCTTCTCCATATATAAATAGTTATCATATAGTAGATTTATAAATGCCATTTAACATAATACAATTAAAGAACTTCTAACAAGATTTCTTCATTCATTTGAACTATTAAGCTTCGGTTTATATTATACACTTATGTAAACAAGGCCAAGTTATACTACAAACTATACAATATTATTTTTAATGTTAAATATATTTGTTGTTCTAACTTACATGAAATAAGAATAGAAGGGGAGTTTTTTGAGAAGTGGATGAGTTTGTGTATAAAGGATATGCATTTAGCAGACATAGCAGACCTGCCAAGGATAAAGACTGAGAGTGCAGGACATGGACATCACTCTGTTGCAAGAAGTCAGAGTGTATCAATAAAGGGACATATTGGCAAATCATTATTCTATATCAGTAACTACCTTAATGTATGGCAGTGAAAGTTATGTGTGGTAGATGAAGCACGAGAGTAGATTAATACTGTAGAAATGCGGTTATTACGATGTATATTAGGTGACTCTGTATAACAGCTTTTTTTTATAGGATAAGGGTGACAAACGAGCACACAGTCCACCTGATGATAATTGGTTGCTGTGGCCCATAGACATCTACATCTATCCTCCAATACGAATCTAAATGCAGATGCGTTGTCACCCGTGAGGACTAAGATGGAATATCTCGTTTCCAGTAAAAAGGGTCTCCAGTTCTCTACACTCACCATACGAAACACAGCAGCATTAAGCTGCTATTTTACGATGGTATTCTGTGAGAGCGTTGTCCTTCCCCGCTCGAGCCAACCCATTCGTGTTACATCTATACCAGAAATTAAATTAAATGGTAGAGCCATGCAGTGTATGTGCATGCTGTGTGCCATGTAGTGGCTTACCAATAGGTTGAGAAATTGTGCAATAAGAGTAGAGTAGTTTGCAAGATGTTGTGCCTAAAATTAAGAAAGAAATGCTTCGATGGTTTGAGCATGGAGAAAGAGTCAATTTGACAAAGCAAATTTATGCTCCAGAAGTGAATAGAGTAGGTAATATGCCCTAGATGTAACCTTAGCAACCAAATTGGCAATACATTGAAGATGGATCAGGTTAAGAGTGCCATTATACGGCAAGCATGTATGCATGTATATGGATATGAAAGAAGAAAGACGTATGTCAGGATTGTGGTAAATGGAAGTCGGTAACCTGTAATCTTGCCTTCCCCTCTGATTGTCAGTAGTACAGACATGCATAAATGTGCGTATTTGTGTATTTTAATTTAGAATAAACATTGGCACAATAATATTATTCAATGGAATTACATACCACATCAAAAAGTCCATCACTCCATTCAAGTTTCTGTAGCTCCAACAGTGTGCTACCATCTGGTGCCAGTTCCAAGAAGAACAGTGTACCACCACCAGCAAGTCCATAATATTGGCTTGTAGCCACTGCTAGTGAGTCAGGTCGTGTGCGAGAAAATCGCACACTGTACCCGTGCCTGCCTGGCGTTAGGAAGGTGGGCATGCTGACTGTGTAACTGAAATAAAGTATTAAAGTATGAAAATGTTATATTTTTTTATTAACAGCCAGACTAAGCAGAGACTAGCCAACTGCACATGATATTTAAAATGCACAAATGTGCACTCAAGCACAGGTGTACTTACTATAACTTCAATCTCAGTCTGATGGGATTACATGAAAGAGAGAGAGAGAGAGAGAGAAAGAGAGAAATCAGGCACAGGACCAACAGCTTTACATACTTTCCAAGGCATGAGGTTAAAACACTGCCACCTTCTTGAATCCAGACTGCTACTGAGAATTTCTGGACACATAAACCAATAACTAGTTTTGGAGCAACTCGGGATTCAAACCTGGGACCAAAGGATCAGCAGTCACTCTTATAACAACCAGACCAACAAGGCAGTCAAATCCAATTACTACATGATTGAAAGCAAGAGTGAATAGGTTTTTGTTAATGTAGGTACACTTTACCATAGTTGGCTACATCACCACTTAATGTTGGGTGGAATAATAGTCAAACACTGTAACAGAACTTGGTAATGTAATTTAAACGATGGCTTTAATTTTACACATGGTTACATTTTATAAAAATATAGTAACTATATATCATCATCATCAACACCATTACAGCCCTTCCCAAGTCCACTGCTGAACATAAGCCTCCCCCAAGAAATGCCACAAAGCACGGTCCTGAGCCACCTGCATCCATCGACTTCTGCATGTCTTGCCAGGTCGTCACTCCATCTAGCGGGGAGACACCCTACACTTCGCCTACCCGTACGAGGCTGCCACTCGAGAACCTTACTATATATAAAGTATTCCAAATTTTCTATAAAATCTAGCTTACTTAGCTTAATGCATAATACAACACTACTAATATTAAGTAACTAAAACAACTAGGGATAACTCAAATGTATGAAATATAAAATGTATAGGTATACTTAATACTTATTCTGATCAAAGGTAAACTTTGTATGGTATCCTGTAAGATTAAGCAATTTTAAAATTAGATCTACCACATAACTAAATTGAATAGGAAAAACAGATTTATTCTTGTGAGAAACTAAATCCTTTTAAAATAATAGAATCTATTAGATCATTCATGAATTAAAAATTACATAATTAATTCATTCTTCGGTTTAAATGAAAGATAATTTAAAAATGACTAATAAGATTGTTTCCCTCATTTATTATCAAATTAACTGGCGACTTATAAAACTTCGTTTGTATTTGTAAGTTTTAAGTTTAATAATTGACACAACGATGTAACCCATCAATTAAACTGCAGGTTGGGACACAATACTTTTACAATATACGAATTAAATGTCGATTTAGACTCTAGAGTAGCAGTTTACCTAAGAATATAAAATATAGATAATTGAATTAACTAAACGCAGATTTAGTAAAGACAATAACATGAAATTTTAAGGTACTAACTGACACTATTTGAGACAACGTTTCATTTCTTGCTTATAGATATTCTTATTTTCAAAACTAATAAGAATCTAACTAGGTTTTCATATACAACTTTAAAAATTAAGACTTGGGAAAGATTAATAAATTTCAACAATTTCAATTTCCTAACCTACTTTATCGTAATTGTCAAAACAAAACGTCAGTGAAGTGAAACATACTTTTTTGGCAGTAGAAACGAGATTTGAAACATCGATACAAAATTATCGATTCAAGTATTGCGAGTATGCGTCACGCGATTTTAATCCCATTTGAACTCCTACGGTTAAAATCCTATTAGAACGTTATTCAATTCTGCAGGAAACCTCATATGTTCGCCTATATAAACGCAGTTTATTCTGCCCATCAGCATTTCTGGTGAGGGACGCAAAACCATCACTTCAATCGAGGAAATCAAACATCCTAAATAATCATCCATCTTTTCTTTTGTCCTTCTCCAGAAAATTAAAGTTAGTCAAAATGCTTGACTGCCTTTCTTTAATTCTCGTGGTCGCGGTTAAAGTTTTCAAAAAAACTACTCCGAATGGAAAAGTCACTGTTTACCTCGGTAAGCGGGACTTCATTGATCATGTGGATTACTGCGATCCCATCGACGGAGTTGTGGTTGTTGACACGGAATATCTGAAAGGAAGGAAAGTTTACAGCCAGGTAAATAAGTGAAGTGACATTGTGAATAGTAAGTGTGGTGAAAACAATGGATCTAATCGTCATATTTTTAATTAGCTCGTCACTACCTACCGATTCGGTAGGGAGGAAGATGAAGTCATGGGTGTGAAGTTTACCAAGGAAATGGTTATTGGCCAAGAACAAGTGGTACCTTTGATCAACTCGAAGATGGAACTGACACCGGTGCAGGAGAAACTGCTAAAAAAACTTGGACCCAACGCCTTCCCCTTCACCTTTAACTTCCCTGAGATGTCACCAAGCTCGGTATAACAGATTACCTTAATTTTTTTATATATTTTCAACGTGTTATCCTCCTTTTTTTAATAAAATAATTCTTAATAGGTAACACTGCAACCAGCTGAGGAAGATCAAGGTAAGCCAATGGGCGTCGAATACTGTGTCCGTACCTACGTGGCTGAAAGTGAAGACCAGAAGAGCCACAAGAGGAGCTCTGTAACTCTTGCTATCAAGAAGGTAACAGAATAATCAAATGAGAATTGTTTTAGGAACATTACAGGATAAAATAATACTTTTGAATTTGTATTTATAGCTGCAACATGCCCCAGCGTCTCGTGGTCGCCGGCTTCCAAGCTCCCTCGTGAGCAAAGGCTTCACTTTCAGCAATGGAAAGATCAGCCTTGAGGTCACTTTGGATAAGGAAATCTATTACCACGGAGAGAAGATTGCTGCTAACTTAATCGTTTCAAACAACTCTCGTAAATCTGTACGAAACATTCGCTGCATGGTCGTACAGCATGTTGAAATTACTATGATCAACTCTCAGTTCAGTCGCCACGTTGCTTCCTTAGAGAGCCGTGAGGGCTGCCCTGTTACACCTGGAGCTAGCTTGTCCAAGACCTTCTACCTAGTTCCACTGGCACGCAGTAACAAGGACATCCGCGGTTAGTACTTATGTTTTAGTAACTCCATTTAATTAATTATCATAAAAGGAAAAATTTCAGGATCGTTAATATAAAACGAATCTATCCTTGAACAGGAGTTGCTCTGGACGGACACTTGAAAGAAGACGACGTGAACTTGGCGAGCTCGACTCTTGTCTGTGATGGCAAATGTCCTGCTGACGCGATTGGTATTGTCGTATCTTACTCTGTCCGCGTTAAACTGAACTGTGGAACTCTTGGCGGTGAATTGGTGACCGATGTACCTTTCAAGTTGTTGCATCCCGCCGAAGGTAAATTTCTTCATAATTTTTTTTATTTAATCATTTATTATTTTTCAATTGTCATTTTGACCCTAAAATTGTTTGACTTCGTTATTAGGCTCTACCGAACGCCAGCGTTTCAACGCTATGAAAAAGATGCAATCTATTGAGAGACACCGTTATGAGAACTCTCTTTATGCTAATGAGGAGGAAGACAATATTGTATTCGAGGACTTCGCCCGTCTCAGGATGAACGAGCCAGAATAAATAAAAATAAAAAACACTACAAAAAAAATGAAAAAATTATAAAAAATACAAAAAACACAATCAAGCAAGTAACGTAACCACGAAACATATCCTTCCATTCCTCTGGGATATTTTTAATATCTAGAACATGTGAATCGAATAGTCTACCATTAAATGTTATTTTAACCGATTTTATTATTTTATTAATTACTGCAAATACAATATTGTTATGAATATTAAAAATAATAACCAAGAAGTGTAATGCTTAATCGGTAGTTACTCATTAAAATTATATAACCAGATAATATTATCGACCATAAATATTACCTTTTTTCCGTATCCAGTAGTAAAAAATAACAAATTAATTAAAATGTTCTTCACTAGATATATTGTTTTTATTTTAACTCACAAACTTAAAAATGTATCTGGGTTTATATTTATAAATACACCATGTCTGCCAGCCAGCTTTAATAATTTGAAGTAACCTCTACGACGACTTTTGCATTACTGACCGATTTTTGAAGATGCAATAGAAGTCATGACCCTATTTGCATAAGCTATTGTGCCTGATAACTTCAAAAAAAGGGTTTGTAGCCGTAGTTCATTACGTAACCCCTTTTAACGACACTTGCTAGGCCTTTTGTAAGTTGAAAAAAAAAACTATCGGCTACTACTTAAGCTCATTAAAAAATATCGAATACTTGTACAATTAAAGCACACAAATTTTTAAATCTGCTTCGCCGTGAAGGAAACCATCATAAAAATCTGTTAGACTGGGAAATATAATTTAAGGTTGACAATATCACAACATGATCATAATCCGGTAACTCCAAATGTACTAACCCTGTGATCAATATGAATTGGCCGTATTATAATTAGTTTATTATTTTTATTGTTAGTCTTTAATAAAACATTTTTTATTAATTTATATTATTATTGATTATAATCTCGAGTATTAGAAACGTTTTATTCGGGGTAGTTGTTAATTATTCCTAATGATCCATATTATGTTATAGTTACTGTCTATAATGATTAGGGGAGAGTAGGGTGATTGCGGACACCGGGTAATTCCGGACGCAGCTTTTTTCTAGAAGGTTAGCCCTTTTCGCGTCTCGCAGATCCTATAATTTTTTCGCATCCGTCATCTTGAGTGAACGGACAGTAGTTAAGACGGAAGGACGAACACGCACTTCAAGGTGTGTACCGACAAACTTTTTTATGGCTTTTCTTATTATTTTTGGATATTTTCATTGACATGTATATGCATTGATATGTGTATAACCGAAACGTTACTTCTGCCACAAACACAAATCATAAGAGATACACCATTAAAAGTATAACAAAAAATAAATCACATGAGCTATCATAAACTCAAAAATATTTCAGGTGCACAAAAATTATGAATGGGTTAATTGCGGACGTGGGAGGTGGGGTAAATACGGAGGTCAGCAATCACTCGAAAATTGAACTTTAGAATAAAAATAATGTAGTGCCTAGTGTCTCTTTAATTTATTATAAATTAATTAATATATATAATATATAATATTCTATTCAGTCGCTCTGTACTTAGAAAAACAAACAAAATCTTGGCTACATCTGAGAGTTTTAGTGATATCGTGCATGAGCACACAAATAACAGTGGTAGAGCCACGCGGCAGCTTTTGCTGTCGCACGGATGGGCCGGCTCGAACCGGGGTAGTACCACGACCTCACAGAAAACCAGCGTGAAGTAGAGGTTTACCTCTGCGTTACGCTTGGTGAGTGCAGGTGGCCGGAGGCCCTTTTTACTGGAAATGAGGCATTCCATCTTAGTCCTCACGGGTGACAACGCATCTACATTTTGATTTGTAACAGAGGATAGATGTAGATGTCTATGGGCCGCAGCAACCACTTACCATCAGGTGGACTGTGTGCTCGTTTGTCACCCATATCCTATAAAAAAAAATGTAATATTTTTGTAATGATGAAGTACAACTTCAGCCCATATATGCGCGACCATTATCTGATACTAGAAACATATCTTATCAACGAACTGCTATAAAAACCTTTATAAAAAAATTAAGACTGTACTAACTAGTACTTCCGAAAATAGAAATCGGAAAACCAAAAAGAAAAATATAAAAAAATGAAGAACTAAGTTAAAGTTAAAGTTACATCCTATATACGTCCCACTGCTGGGCACAGGCCTCCTCTCCTTTCTGAGAGGGTTTTAGGGCAAGGAAGTGTCCGCCGCGCTGCCACAATGCGTGTTGGCGAACTTCACTGTGGCTCAGGACCGTGCTTTGTGGAATTCCTTGGGGGAGGCCTATGTTCAGCAGTGGACTTGTGAAGGGCTGTAATGATGATGATGATGATGACGATGATGAACTTCACATGCCTTTGAAATACTTCTTTTTTTTCTTATTTCTCAGACACGTACTCGGCGGTGAAGAAAACATTGTTAAGAAATGTTTTCTTCACCTACGAGGGCGGCACTGAAAATTTCGGGAATCAAGGAAGTGACACAACATTACTATTTAAAAATGTATTTATTGACTTTCGAAGTATTCTCCGCGAAATTTGACACATTTTTCCATACGATGGAACCAATCACTGAACCAACCATTCCATTCGGAAGTTGGGGTCTCCAAAATGGCCGTTTTGTAGGCGTCCACAGCTTTTTCATGTGATGAAAATATCTGTCCACGCAATTTATTCTTTATTTTAGGGAAAGTATAGAAATCATTAGGGCTTAGGTCGGGGCTGTATGGCGGATAGTCTAATAATTCTATGTTTTCTTGCTCTAAAAACTCTTTTGTTCTGTGTGCGGTGTGAGAACTCGCATTGTCGTGATGGAGGATGATGCGGCGGTTGCAGTTCTTTTTACGGAGTTCAGAAACGACCTGTGACAAACAAATGCTAGCATACTATTCTGCATTAACCGTTCTTTGTCCCTCAAGAGGAATAGTCGTAACATGGCCGGTTTTGGAGACAAACGTGGCCACCATTTTTTTTGCAACACTCCGTGAACGAACACCCAAACTCGTGACTGGTTTTTTGTTTCGGGTTCGTACGCATATATCCAGGATTCGTCACTTGATACGATGTTGTATACAGCATTTGAGGATCCCGCGTGGAATCTTTCGAGAGTTCTGACGCACCAAGTAACACGAGCCGCTTTTGCTCTTCACAGAGCGAATGCGGTATCCATCGAGAAAACAACTTTTTTACACCTAATTGTTCATGCAAGATCATTTGTATTTGACTCATGCCAATGTCTAAAGTTGCCTGAATTTCGCGGTATGTCACATGTCGATCTTCCTCAATCAGCTTACGCACAGCATCAACGTTTTCTTGGGTGACTGCAGTTTTTGGACGACCTTGACGGCGATCATCACTGAGCTTGACACGTCCACGTTGAAATTCAGCAAACCAGCGATAAATTGTGGTTTTGGATGGGGCTTTATCACCAAATGCAGAAATCATCCGGTCAACACACTGTTTTTGTGTTAAACGACTTCGAAAGTCATAATAAATCATCGCTCTTGAATTTTCTCGAGTCAATTCCATTTTCTCAACGACTAAACAAGTTTGATAAAACCTTGTGGCAAGACCGAGAATCTTTTTTTAAATAAATAAATGGTATTCGATTTTTAAAACCAAGGACTTTTCAATTAAAAAGATTTTAATATGACAGGAACAGTGGAAATATTCCATTCCCGATACTTTTAGTGCAGCCTATGTAAAAGCTTTTAGAAAAATTTACTTCGCAAATATCCGCGTTATAAAATAAAATGATGTCTTACCTAGTATGAAGAGCACCTCCCGCCCTCCCTCAATTGCGTGCACTATCCCCGTCACCACTAATCCCAGCACCGCTACTCCCAACACCACTACACTAGGCAAGACAAACCACTGACGATAATACGACACGTGTTTCGCCTCTACACGAGGCATCCTCAGGTGATATAGACTCTAGGGTGGCTAACCGCTAAGTGAGCGGCGAGCCAAAACAAGTGCCTTTTATACAGACCGATGACGCAACCGCTCTCTACTTAAGGAGCGAGCGACTGCGTCATGCAATAAAACATGCGATCAATCACCGCCGGACTTACGCAGCCGTTTGTAAAATTAAAAAACAAACCGCCGCGCAGCGCCCACCCTCCAACCACGCAACCAATCGCCGATCACCGTGAGGGTGACAAAAGACCATATTGCGAGGCTCTCTATTATTAGAGAGCAGGCTTAAAGATATTTAAGAGAGGTGAGTTAGTAACATTTGTTTGTTCATTCAGCAATGCAACGGTACTATTGTTACTTTTTAATATCTCTAACTGTTCAGTGATCCATCGTGATGACCGTCGATATCAGGTTATATTGTGGTGCGAGAAGCCCAGCGATCCGATGAAAGATGACTAAACATTTGTGCCATTTGCTGTAGAGACTATACGTTCGTTGGGTTCATTTGCGGTGAAGTTCCTAAAGGAACTGTATCCGCGACTGGTCGTCGCTGCTAGTGACAAGAGAGCTTGTTATTTCCTTGCTCAAAGGCTGAGTATAGCCATACAGCGAGAACGCAGCCAGTATTCTGGGCACCATAACGCGGGAAAGGATTGTATGATAATTTTAGTTTTTTATTATTATAATTTTCTACCGACTTATAAAAGGAGACGGTACTCAATTCGACTGTATGCTTTTTTATGTGGTTTACCTCATAACTTTTTATTGGATAAACCGATTTCGATGATTCTTTTTTTATTTGAAAACTGGTGCTTTACATGTGGTCCCATATAAATTTGATCCAGGACTGACCAATGATTTTTGAGTTATTCTTAATAATTTATATTGAAGTCGGTTGTACAAAAATTTTAATTTTAGATTATTGTTAATATTGTTTTTTGAAATTATAAATTCTATTCAATATTACACAATATTGAGTCGCTCTGTAATACTGAAAAGAACATCGGAGAACAAAATTAAATTTCATATTTAAAGCTTTCACAAATAAGATGATTCCAAAATCGAGATTATAATTTAAAAAA